TGAGACTGAGTGAAAATGCAATCTTTTGAAATAAAGTCTGAGTGAGAGGTGTTATTTTTATTTACAGTGTGGGCTAGCTTGTAAACACGGGGAAATGAGACTAGGACAAAAGTATTTCTTCRGTGTGTGGGTTCGGAGGCAGTTTGCCTTGCCTATCACTGCAATTTCATATCAAGTAAGCGAACATGTGTCGTGCCAACGGAGAACAAAAGTCAAACTTCGGATCGTGTTTTCTTTCTTTGCGAAGGATCTTAACAATGCAAGGGAGTCCAGACAATTCCGAGACAATGAGATGAAGCGTTTGTGAAATGTTTTTGGAAAGGCCTGTGGAATAGCTATATGCCTCCAGCCTCCTGTCTCCTCCCCAGGGCAGCCTAAAGCCCTGTCGGCAGGATGCTGATCCCCACACGGAAACCTGATCCGCAGCCATCCTGGAGCCGGAGGGATGGGGAGGGAGGAGGGTGTCGGGGAAAGAGCTCTCCCCCCACAAAGCCCCTTCGCTTCTGCCCCAGAGTTAAAGGGGTGCTCTGGGGGAACATTCTTCAAGCCCTGCCCCAGCCAGCCTCCACTCTCAACTCTCTAGGGGAGCATTCTTCCAGCCCTGCCCTAGCCTTCACTGGAATCTCCTGGGGAGCATTCCTGAAGCCCTGCCCCAACCCAAGACGGGCTCCCTGGGGATGCATTCCTGCAGCACTTTCTCTCTGTTTCCCTCTCCCCATCTCCCTCCTTCTCCCTTGCTCCCTTTCTCAGGCTCTCGCCTTCCTCCGCAGTCCAGCATTAGTGCGATCAATAGCACCGATCGCATCGGGGACACCAGGCAATCCATAGCTATGCACTCCCTTAGCGCACTGCAGTGGTCACAGCTTAAGTGCATGGAAAGGTGTTATACCTCTGATAGACGGGGGGAGACAATGGCCAACATTGATCGAGGTGGCGTGCAACATCTTTCTCTTTCTTTCTGTCTATTGGGCGTGGTCGATGAGCAGTTCAAATGTGTTTACACTTTATTCAGTTTGTTTTGTCTCACTGCTGTCGATGATCCTGTTTTATTGTAGCATAAGGGAGAAGTTTAACGAAAACCAGAAAACACAGGCGAGGTAGTGCGGTGATGTCTGCTTTCTAGAGTTGCACTATAGGCTTATGTGCTATTAGCTGAGAGAAAAGGAGACGATTTCCTTCAGCGAGCAAAGCAAATCTCCAATATGTGGATTGGTTCCAGTCAAGCTTTGCAATTTGTTTACTCAAAATAAAACATTTAAAATTGTAAAAAAAAATGGGGAGTATAGCAGGTGCTGGTGGTTGATTAGAAAATGGTTCTAATAAAGCATCCATCTGCGAGTAGAGACTTGATGTAAGGCTGATTAATCGGTCATGGATGTCTACATAATGCCACATAGGAAATCTCCTTCCATACTTCGATTCCAGAGAATACACAAACACGAGCAAACACACGCATACACACACACACACACACACACACNACACACACACACACACACACACACACACACACACACACACACAAACACACACTAGCGGGTTAGATAGCCGGTCAGAAGCAATATAATTTTCAGTAAAAAGAAGTTATCAAGCTAACTACGAAAGGTAAAATCTTAATTGACCATAACTTTTCCACATGAATATGCTTACAAAGGTCTGAACTATTGCTTTAAGCAAAACTTTCAAAACCAATAAGAAAGTAATTTTAATCTGTCAGCTATTTTAACTATTAACAATTGTGTTTTCACAACAAATACACAGTACAGTGTAGGCACATTGCAACAAAAACAATTAGACGGGCATGTTTGCAGCGACAGAAAATACTTGCTGTCGAGCTATTTTGACAACAGCTTAAAACAAATAGCCATGTCACACACACACACACACACACACACACACACACACACACACACACACATTCAAAGTACTTAGTATGCCATCTAGAAGTTTCTTTTCTCCCACTGTGTTTGAATGCTAATAGAGTGTTTCTGCACAATCACAATACCCTAATGGCAATTAGATTCTTTTGTTTAGTTTCCACAGGGGCTCTTATCCAAACTGTTTTTTTTTTCATCATTGAGCAATTAAGAGTTATTTGTCCATTAGATTGGCATTTATAAAAGACGGGCTTTGTTGTAGAAAAAAAYGGGGCAAAGTCAGTCATGACCATACTTAAACGTTGCAGAACAAAAAAAAACTTTTTCCTATCAGTTACAAAATATTTGCATCATTAATATTATTATTATTAAACTGTGCTAAATGTGGTATCTCACTGGGCTTTGACTGCTGACAACCAGTTGCCAAACAGCATTCAAAAAGTAGCCTCTAACGTGTCTCGAAATGTTTGTAATGATTCTCAGTTTCCTTGCGAATGTCACAAAGATGGACCAGCTTGTCACTTACTGAACCATAAAACAATTTGTGTAACCTTTTTTTTTTCTCAAAATAGTGAAAGAGTTGTTGCAGATGTCTTAAAGCCATCTGAATAAATTTGCTGTRAATTTCAGACATCTGTTTTTTTTACTTCTGTACAGGGATCTTAGGACAACAATCATGTTATTTTTGTCTAAAAAATTGCACTATTGTTGACAAACGGTACTTATTAAAAAAACTGGTCTAAATATACTTATAATTTCTAGTTTTCTAGGCTAATTTCTAATTTCTTTTTAGTAGATAAAATTATAAAGGAGGAAGCAGCTGCCAGGGTACACTGCAAAAATTGTTCATCTAATGCCGGGTTCACACAGCAAGATTATTGTGCCAATTTTTGGCCTGGTTTTGCTCTTCTGACAAATTTTACTTTGATTATTGTGATGCTCTAAAGATATTCTTATCAGATATTCCTGCAGTGTATGATGTAAATAGTGATCTAGTTGGCTCGGAAGGACATCAGGACCGCTCCAAACTTAAATTGAGGTTATTCAACATGTTGGCTTATCTTGGCTTGATATCCCAATGTGGGAATAAACAAGCATGCATCCTGTTGAATGTGACATGTAGCCAATCAGAAAGCAAGGTAAAGGAAACACAGAGGGTAATACAAAATACAGAAGACCAAAAACAATGGCCATGGCGCACCAGAAAGTCCGCTGACGTTTGGAGACATCTTTTTAAATYGTTTTTTCTCTGTTAAAATAGTCCACAAACTACGGCCATTGCTTCTTCCTCATCTGCAATGTGACATACCTCAGTTTTTTTTTCTCTAAACTCACGTTTGATCTTGAAAGGTCTCGTGAGGTTTCCTGTCTGAATGTTTGCAAGATCTCGTGTGATTTTAAAAGGTCTCACAAGATTTCCCATCTGCCATCTGAATGTTGGTGTGTGGTTGTTTACCATGTGGCTGTACACCACACACTGTAGGACAACACTAGGTTTGACAATTTTTTGAACCTTTTTCCTTATTTTAAGAATCTTACCAAGCACAATTGTCTAATTCCATTGGCAGATTATTTCATGTAATTGAAGTCTAAATCTTTTCAAATAAGTGAAATAATCTGCCAATGGAATAAAATAACTGCAGTTCTTGAAATAAGGAAATTTTCTAGGCTAAAAAAGGTTAACAATCTAAAATTCTTCTTTTACTTAGTGTATGAGTCTCAAAACAAGATCAAAAATACTTTTTGACTCAAAACAAGATTGAAAGACATGCCTATATGGACAATTTTTGTAGTGYAGCTGACCAAGACAGATACAATGCGGACGAAGATTGGCAATGAAATAATGTCCACGGCCCAGAATACATTTTTAAAAGCCGTGTGCAAAAATAGGCAATTTTTATTTTTAGTCATCAAGTCCTCAATAAACACAGTTTAGTGAGATACTAGCATTACATCACTCAACAGTCTGTCGATCTTTGAGAGTCACAGAAAAGGGGAGTTACGAGATATTTTTCATAATTTTGTTTTCCMCAAGTCAGACAAGGCTGTTGTTCAATAAAAAAATTTAAAAAACGTTTATTGACTTTCACACTTTTTCGACAACCAGAGAACCATTCAGATGTAAACAAGCACAGTCACTTCATGCAAAGTCACACATGCATGCATTTCTGTTTGAATAAACATCAATAGTAGCTTGACAGAAAAGCATAAACACACACACTGGGAACCAATGCGAACACAAGACTGGAGACTCTTAAAATTAATGGAAAATCTTTGTAAAACTCGTGGGATGTCTAACCCATAATTTTGTGGTTGGGTTGTGAAATGTGAAATCAAACTGTATGTGTAAACAAAACCAAAAAAAAAAAATTTTAAACTATCTTCCTTTTGAACAAACGTTAAATGTTCCTTCAATGATCGAAGTTGGCTTTTGTGTTGCACTGAGTTTTAAATCATTACATCGTAGCTCGAGTCCTGATCACAGACAGAGCTGGAAAGTGTGYGTCAGATGGCATTTCTCAATATGGCTCCATCAGGACGTGTAAAGGAGGACAGCAAGTCCAGGAGAAACACATGGAAACCTTCAGTTCACATCATTAGTTCTGTCTGCCACCTTGTCAGGGTATTTATAGTCCTATTCATCCATCAACAGGTCAATGACACAGTCTGCCAATGGCATCCTTCCCTTTCAGTCCCATAAGGTATCACTACTGCAGCGTGCTAACACTGGGACAGGCTGAGGGACTTTCCTGGAGACACAATCTGTTTCCAGCTTGTGGTCTGGTTCATGTTTGACCAAGTCAACACATGTTTTGCTTAATTGTTAAATGTTATATTAAAACAGGGGCATGGAAATTGAACTAGAAATACAAATACTATAAGGACTACCTGTTTGTATGTCATGCCATAACGCACAAGGCATATAAATAATATGTGTGAGGCCTGTTCGGTTGGATATCTACCAAAAACAGTAGTAGTCTAGTGTTGTGCCCCCCTTGGTGTAGTGTACTAACACACAAAGTGTGGCATATTCTCTGTTGAAGGCACAGAGCGAGAGTGGGAGTGGGAGAAGAGCTGAGTGGCAGAGTAGAAGGGAGGCTCGGTGGGCTGAACGTTGTTTACCTGTCAGCTGGCATTGATTAATCTTGTGTTCGGTGAGATCGCTCAGTGACTCGAACACCTGCCGGCAGCTGTCGCAGCTGTGCAGCGCGGGCTCCTCGTCCTCCTCCTCTCCCTCCTCTCCTTCCTCTGGAGAGAGCAGCCTCTTCCTCAGATGCCCGGCCTCACCATCCTCCGCCACCCTCTCGGGGGCGCACTCTGGATCTGCGGAGCCACAGGAAACGACAGCACCACATAGTCAGAGGGGTGACCCGCGCTGTGAGGTACCGCAGCGTCCTCTGGGTGACAATAAAATGGATTTCTAGACTCTGGATTTAATAAAAACAATAATAAAAGCTGTAATAAAAATGCAGGTTCAATTTGGACCTCTGTAACTCAACCACTCCTGCCATAACAGAAGTGCTGGGCAGGTGAGGTGCGACAAACAGGCAGAGAAGGTGGCACAATGCTCACAAACACACATCCRACACACACACACACACACCTTTGTTATTAGAAATGGTTTTACGTTGTGTTTGCCCTGCTTCACCCAAGCAAAACTTCAGTATATGAAACTAGACTGATGGGAATATGTGTAGTTAATAAATCTGGGATTGCAGTTTTGGCTGGACCAAAGAAATATGAAATTCCACCAGCGAGCTGAATTGCATCAATCAGCATCTATCAAAGGAGACAGGCCTTGCCAGAAGTGTGGATGTGCAGAGCGCTGCCCAGTAAAACACAAAAACTGAGATTGTTATGCGTTGCACTTTCGTCACAACACACTTCCTTAAATTATTCAGCCTTGCTTGCAGGCAGCCGCGGGTCGTGCACATCAATATTCTTCAATCCATCTGCAGTTTTGTCTCTTGTTGGCTTTGTGCCGCAGCAATGCCAGGGGTGAGCCTCTGACTACCCGGAGCCAGGACTAGTAACCATCTTTTCAAATTACTAACCTAATCTGTGCTTTTTTTCTTGTATTGTTAAATTATCTATACTGGAAATAAAATCTTGCACGGCTCATTCGCAGCGTAATTTCATTTAAAAGTGTGGAGGGGAAAAAAATGAAGGCAGCTTAGAAAGGGAGCTTATAACTAGGCAGCATGGCCTGCAGCCCTCTTTCTCCCCTTCCTGCTGTGATGACTACTCTTAACAATAAGACTGACTAATGGGCCATACTTACAATCAAACAATCTTATCAACCAGGTTATGTTTTGTGGGGAGAGAAGAGCCTTTAGCAGCAGCCATTTTAAGCCCCACTGATGCAAGTGTTCCTCAGCTTGTCTGGAAACTCTGGAGGGAAACATTAGGCAAAAAAAACTGCCTTTTTTTTCTCTTTTTTTTTCAGCGAGCAAACCGTTAACAGCACCTGAGGGCAAAGAGTGTGTGGCACTCATGTGTGCAGGTGTGGGCGTACATGTATTGGGTGCAGCAGCCATTTTAAGCCCTCCGTCTGAGGGGGTTCTCAAATATTGTGAAAGTCCTCAAGGAAATGCAGTCCAGAACTCATCAAGGCCACCCAGGATACCCCCC